ACTATTCTGAAAGCAAGAACAAGTCCATTCTCTTGCAAAGTGGAGTAAAGTGATTTGTGTTGTGGGTAAAATTCTTTCTACTTTGTTTTCATGACCTACATTTTCCTTACCTTTGGGGGTTGTTGGAATACAGAGTATAGATAGATTTTTAAGGAGTTGATGAAATTCTAAAGCAATTTTTGCATTTTATCTACTCCTACACACAATGCAGTATACATTACAAATAGCATCATAATTTAACCAAAGCTGTTGCTGATGACCTAAATTTTAACTTGAAGGTGAAAAATGTTGTTATGTATTTTCCTTTTACCATTATTTGAAGTTGATATAATTTCATTCTTTTATGGAGTGACTTCTGAAATCTTTGTTTGTCTTTGTTTCTGAATTGTATTTCCTAATTGTCTTGTGAAAACTTTTATGCAACATGTGTGCAAGTCCTTGTCATATAGATAAATTGTTAGTGTCATGTCTGAGAAGAGCTTCCTCCTTTTCATGGGTATTGCCTTTATTGAATTTTTTAATTAATGAAAATATTTCATCATTGCTTCCTTTACTGAATATTGCTCCTGATGTCTTGTTCAGATAAATATTTGCAATCCCACGTTGGGAAGCTGATCTTTTTCCCTCTCTCTCTTTAGAGGAAGCCTTTCCATTTTAGTTTAACTCGTTGCATACATAATCCCCACACTGATATTTGCTTACCAAATGCGATGCCAAGGGTGCCTTGATAGATTTTCTTATGCATTCCCGCACTCAGCTCAGCAACACTCGTTGGAATGTTTTGTCTTCCTTGAGGGTCTCGGGGGCTTTGTTCTGCAAGTGCCCTCAACTGTTCAAGTGCTCTTGAACCACAACCAGCTTTGTCAGAAGTCATGGTATTAGAATCTGTTGTCTGAAGATCTTATTTTCCTTCTAAAATGCTATTTTAGGTCCTTCAAGTTTCTATACGGAGCTTCTAATTAGTTTGTCATTTGAAACAAAGGGATGGATTTTCATTAGAAACACATAAAGCATGAGCTAAATTGAGAGTAAGGAGAGACTTGTATTTTACAATTCATGAGCTGACATATCTCTCCGTTTATTCAGGATTCTAATTCCTCTTCATGGTATTTTGTGATTTGAAATATGGACATCTGCCTTCTATCTCCCTGGCTTTATTCCTTAACACAGCATGCTCATGGTAGTTTTGCAAACACTGTTTCTTAAGTTTTATCTCTGAATTCGTCTCAAGCACATGGAAACTGCTGAAACATTACCTGGCTGGCTTCACTTCTCATTTCGGACAGCCGCACGGCTGATTTCATTTAATTTTACAGATAAAATAGTATAATATTATTTGTGAATAATGAGAGTTAACTACTAATCATCGTTACATGGAAATTTCAGTGGGTATTCTTGCTTGTCCCCAACATTTCATAAACAGATGTACCATGAAGGAATAAACTCAAGTCTTTCAAGAACTTCTTAACAAATTACAGAATTTCTAATTCTTGAAGAACTTTAAAATTTTTAAAAATAAGAGGCCTTAAGTTTCACTGAATTTCTTTCCATTATTCATGACTCCTGTTTGCCACCAGATAGTGAAATTAAGCATTTTGGGATACTAGATTCTATGCTTTATAATATATCCATAGAATGGTGCTAGCTTTGCTGCTTTCTGGTTCTAGTCTATTTTCATTGTATATAGAAATCCTGTGGGGCTGGAAGGCAGGAGCCATGGTCAAATGTAGACAGAAGTGGCTATATGTTTTATTGCTCTGACATAGGTCAGAAATCACTCATTCACTCACCATTATACAGCATGTCAGTGCAATTTTGCTTAATTGTTTATTAAGAAAATGGGTTAAGGAGAATATTTATCAAACCCAGAAGTAAGATCTAAGATAGAGAATTCCTCCCTTGTCCCCCAAACTTCTTTACAAATTACGCTTAACCATGTATTACTATAACCTTTATATAACATCTATAAAGAAAGTGATACCACCTGTGTCTTATTAGTCAAGTTCTTGTGTGACAGTGGCAAGAGACTCTCCACGCTAGGAAAATATATCCACCCACTAGCAAATCGCTACTTCTGGTTCTACCTCTAGGGACTGACTAGAACAGAAATGTGTATCTCTCTCATGGGACACCCTCTCTGAATCACTCAGCCATTTTCAGATAGAATTCTCTGCAGTGCTGAGCCTCTTAGAGATCCTGCACGTACCCACAGGATTTTTCTAATCTGCTTCCCAAGGTTGGGATGATCAATGAAAGCAAAACGGCTGAGTTTGCTGCTGGGGTCCTTTGGCATCTTGGGCTTCACCACCTGGGGCTTCACAAGTGCCTTGATGACCTCTGCAGGTGCACACATGGCCTTTGCATTATTTGCCTGCATCTTCTTCAGGCATTTCTTGCTGTGCTTCTTGGCAAAGCGCATGTTCCTCAGGAACTTCCAGTCGACACCCTTAAGAGATTCGTATTTATGTGACCGGGTTTTTTTTTATGCCATTTCTGTGCCATTTGGGGGACTGGTTGTGTGTGGTGTGGCTCTTGGACTTGGCCATGGCTGAACAGTAACCAGTGGCTCCCGAAGTGCCTGCGACGAGAAGAGAAATAGCAGCAGCAAGTATCCTTAACCATTAAAGCCTTTACTATAGTCCCTAACACCTATTTTATATAATACCAAATGTTTTTTTCACTTTTCTTTCCTATCTTCCTACCTTTCCTCCTCCCTCCTTCTTCTCTTCCTTCCTCCCCCACCCTTTGTCTTTCTCTCTCTCTCTCTCCCTGTCTTAAAACCACTTCTAAGCATGAGGCCTGACCTGGGATGTGGTTGATAAACTCAATGTCACTCCATTGGAGAAAAGAAAATTTCCCTTCCCCAGCAGATATTACTTGCAAATAGCTTTTTGCTTAGAAAGAGAACCTTGTGCTCACTCCCACTTCTTCAGAGATAATAAGATATTCAATTTCCTAATGAAAGCTTGGCTGTCAGTACTGTACAGATATGTGTTATAGTTAAAGGTATCACACAGAAGACTGGTCCTACAAGCACCAGAGCTCCTTGGGTAGCACCAAAGGCCCAGTGTACAATCAGTTAAGGATGTTACCTTCCTAAGAGTATCCACTGTGAGTATTGTTAGAAGTTCCAGCTACTCCTGCAATGGAGGTGTTTATGTTTGCCCTTTGTCTGTTAAAATATGCTTTACTACAGTAACTGATTTTCAGTAGTGTTCCCAGCCTTGCTTGCATTCCTGCTATGAACTCTACTTGTTCGAGGTGGTTATTCCTTGCTATACATTTCTGGTTTTGGTTGCAATATTTTATTGAAAATATTTGTACTAACTTTTCTAGAAGATAAGACTTTGTGACATTTCTCTGTGATATCAATGTACTATCGATATTATAAAGTTAGTTCATAATTTTTCCTTCCCCTCCTATTTTTCAGAAGAATTTGTTTAAAAATTAGATTTTTTTTGTTTTGGTGTTTGGTAGAACTTTATAGTGAAAGTATATGTGCTTAGACTGTTTTGAGCAAAGTTAAAAAAATACAGGTTTTGTCTGTTTATCTAATAGAGATTTATTGAAAAATCCTACAGATGAAGCTAGGAGTAGAAGAAAATAATCTACTTGCAGATAACCCAGAAACTATGTCTAGGAGATTCGCGTTTCTGCCTACTATGACATATGGGGATTTCATTCTAGGGGATTTCCGACAAGAGGATAAAAAAGTCCTCCAACCCAATCCCACTGAAAGCACAGGGACATAGCTGTGCACTTGTGATTTATCATCCAAGGACCGGTCCTACATAACATCTACGTTTGGTGTTCCCAACCTTCTCTAATGAAGGAACAGGAGGAAGCCCACAGGCAGGAACTGAGGTCAGACCAATATGCATGACTGAAAACAAGACAGTGATGGAAGAGGAAAGGCAAACCATCTTAACAGTGGTTTGGTAAAGCCAGAGAGAAGTGGGAAGACAGGGAGATAGAACATGATGCAGATAGCTATCAAAGTAAACGTAATCCTTTAGCTGTGATTTCTGTTCTTGCCTTTCCGTGTGAGCTAGAGCAAGGTACCAAACCCTCTAAAGTCCATGTTTCTCTTCTTAACCAAAGATAAACTTATTTCCGAGAAGAGTAATTGTGAGAATCCAAAAGGAAGATAAGCCTCTAGGGACTTATTTGATTCAGGGAACACCATATCCCTCCTCTCTCTGCCTTGCTCTACTCTGTTTCAGAACTTTGAGAGGAAGCCAGAAAAGAGAAAACTCTACTGTGCAGGCTGCTCTGTGACTTGGCTAATATGATGTCATAGTCCAGGAACTCTTAGAATGTTCAGGAGATGCTGGATGGAGCCTGGTGCATATCTCTATGATGGGGACTGCAGTGCAGACCCTAGAACATAGATGCTTTGGGATGGATTTGTACTGTACTTTGAGAAACAGTTGGGGTCTTCCATAACATAGTTAGAGACGGAAAGCTGGTGTGCATGTCCCTACTGTCAATGCAATCTAAGCTTTCCATTTTGAACAGGGAGTTATGTGACCCCGTAAGTGATAAAGCGGAGACTACACAATAGAATGCCACAGACAAAGGGTAGAACACCATGAGAAAGATTGGAGTTGTCTAGAGAAAGAAGCAAGTTAGATGGAGAAATCTGCATACTCAGCATTCCCACCGAAACTACACTACCTTTCCTCACAATTAAGACTTTATATATAACATGTTCATGCACCAATTCATACATGTACATACGTAGCTTATGGTATAGGAATAGATAGATACTAGCTGCCTTGTATTTAATAATATTAGAAACAGTGGTTGTGCGGTTGGAAGCACATGCAAGCACATGCAGCTGATGTACTTACTGCACATTTGACATCCCTGAATAAAATTTTCTCATCCAAACCTACAAAGTTAAAATGGATTTTGGAAACTGAAGAGACTTGATATAATCTTCACTTGCAAAATTAAATGAAATTTGAATTGAACTCTTTTGGTACTCTACACTTTAGACTGTTTCTCATGCCGACGTGGGGACGAGGAAATGGCAGAACGGGTGTGCTACTGAAATCGATTGCCAGGCATTTTGTGGATCACAACAATGAATTAAATAAAAATAACTTATGTGAAGAGCATTACAAATTACCGAGTTGGCGATGGGAGTGTGGGGGTGAGTAATTTTCATCAGGGAATACACTCCTGTCACTCTGGAATGGTTGATTCACTATGAAATGAGAATAAGCCCCAAAACCATCTGGAAAAGTTTGAAAATACCTTACCTGTCCTCAGAGATACAGAGAAGAGGGCAATAATTCATTATCCTTGCAAACTTTTCCTTCTGTCTTTATGTAATATTGCCTTTCACTGAGATTTCCTTTCCATTTCCTATGGTTTTTAATAGGAAGGCATTTTCTAAAGTGGGAATATAAAATCAGGTATTTGCTGGAGAATTTCCTTCATGATCTGGCAGCGGTGTTTGTAAATGAAGTATGATCTTGATGAACTCAGTGAACTGTTTCAAGGGTTTCCAACTGTTTCAAGGTACCCTAAGATGATTTTCACACTGAAACTAAATATTTTACTGAGAAAGAGAATCCCTTGGAGATATGATGACTGCTTACTCTCATTCTTTGTAAAAAGTTAGGATAGATGAAAATTTAGGATACTTCTATTACTATGAATTGATTATTAGTAGCTTAATTCTTAGATATTATGTTCTCTCTTATTCAATACTTTTTGGACACCTTTTATTTAGGAGAAGAAAAAGGAAGAGTTATGATTTGAACATGACAGTTTCCTAAACACCCCTTTGCTCTAACACCTTCTTGAGCGGGTCTCTTTTGGGAGGGTCTGTAGACATTTTAGCAAGTGGGGTATGATGGGACTCTGCTGATGGGGCCTTATCAGTGATAATTCTTCCCTTGTTCAGTCCTGAGTACTCTATGCTTCGTGATTCCCCTGAGAGATGAACAGAGCTCCTTGTGCTCCACTACCACCAACAAGATGGTTTTCCTGACACAGTGAGCCATAAATCTCTCTCTCTCCCTCTCCCTTTCTCCCACCCCTCTCTGCTTGTGGGAGGGCGGGTTTCAGCAATGAGATACTGCATTAAACATTCTTTCTTAAAAAGCATTTTTATTTTATGCATAGGAGTGCTTTACAAGCTTGTGTTTGAGGATACCACACGTGTGTGATGCTTAGAGGTCATCAGAGGACATCAGATGCTCTATAAGGGAAGTTACAAACGAATGTGAGCCCCAGATAGGTTGTGAGAGCAGTGCCCACTTTCTCTCAAAGCAGGAAGTTTCTCTGACTTCTGAGTCATCTTTCCAGCCCCGGCAGGCTTTTTACATGACTGCTGTTCACCAGGCAGATGATCTCATGCTTGTACAAAAACAGATTTACTCAGCAACCTATGTCCCAGTCCCAGAACAACTTTAAGTGAGAAGTGTGATGAATAAATGGGATACAAAGAGGCTTGCCTTAATATTTATTTGCAAAATGTTTTGACTTTGTAAGACAAAATGAGATAAATATCAGGAATTTGGTAGCATTGGGATATGTAAACTATCAAACAATAATAGAACTCTTCTCTTCCTTCGTTCTCATGCAGTTGTCCAGGCTGTGTGGAGAACTTTGAGGGCTGAACAACTGTGAATACTGTTCCTTCTTGGTAACATGACCTACATCCACTGTTATTAGACATGTTCAGTGACGTCTGATCATGAAAGTGGAGTCAAAAAGAAAAAAAAAAATCCCCAAACTTATAAAGTTCAAGTAAGTACCTCTGCTTTTCTTCTGTCTGTCTCTCTTAAACGTGTTTTCCTAGGCTGGGTGTAGATTGCTGCTAATTGGAAGTTAGAAATGCTCTAACATTATTATGTATGTGTTGATATAAACATGGAGCTATTAACAGGGGAATCTTTGATAGGGCAAGAATGCAATAGCTTCCCTAACGCTGTAATCTTGAACTGTCTCTCAATTTCCTGTAGTAGGTTTTTGTTTGTTTGTTTTGTTTCTTTTTTTCTTTGTTTTTTTTTCCTGTTAAACAGAGTAATTTTGGGAAAGAGGCAAGAAATATTCAGATATCATACCTTTGTAAGTTCATAGACTATAAGTATTTCATCTTTAAAAAGTGAAAAAAAAGTGCTTCTGGGCTGAGAATACATGCCAGGCTTACTGCGGGCTCACATATTTTATGGTTGATTTATAACCCTCTCAGAAAGGATGGAAACGGTACCACATTAATAACTCCAGTAGAACGAGTTCTGCATACTTCAAGAAAAAAATAGAGAAAGGAAATAGGAGACAAGGATGGAGAGGGAAGGTAGCTCCTTCTGGGATGGAGGAGAATATCCAACAGCCTACATGGAGGTTCATAGTTGTCTTTCACAAGAAACAACAAGGGCTGGAGAGGGATGGTTCAGCAATGAACAAGGGCTCGAGAGGGATGGCTCATCAATAAACAAGGGCTGGAGAGGGATGGTTCAGCAATGAACAAGGGCTGGAGAAGGATGGCTCATCAATAAACAAGGGCTGGAGAGGGATGTTTCAGCAATGAACAAGGGCTGGAGAAGGATGGCTCAGCAATGAAGAGAAATTGCTGCTTTCACAGAGCACCTGGTTTGTTCCCCAACACCTGACTGGACAGCTCGCAACCCTCACTCCAGTTCAAAAAGATCTGCTGTCTTCTGATCGTCTCTGTAGCCACATGGACGCACATGATACATCTATAGTCAAGCACACACACATATATACATAATTTTTTTTTGGTTTTTCGAGACAGGGTTTCTCTGTCATTTTGGAGCCTGTCCTAGAACTAGCTCTTGTAGACCAGGCTGGTCTCGAACTCACAGAGATCCGCCTGCCTCTGCCTCCCGAGTGCTGGGATTAAAGGCGTGCGCCACCACCGCCCGGCTACATAAATATTTTTTAAAAAAATAATTTACTAAAGGGTTACTTTAATAATCATTATTTGCTATCATCTTGCTTTTCCTTATTCATTTAAATATAGTGCTTTAAAGTGAACAAGGGTGCGTCAAGAGCATGATGGGGAATACCACAGAGATAGTTGACCTGAGCTACTGGGAACTCACAGACTGCGGACTGACAGCTAGGAACCTGCAGTTTTCTGTGTTGACTCAAATCTAACTCTCTTTTGCAAATTTGGGGCAACATGTGAGTGTGGAGTCTTTATGAACATGTTCATGTAGTTGTGCACCTGTGCTTAAGGACACACATTAATGTGTTTGTGTGCATGTGTGAATGTGCAGGGACCAGGTGTAATTCGAGAGAAATCTTTCAATTACTAGGCCCCTGAATGTGGGTGACAGTTATGTGGCTTGATCTGTTGGGAAGGGAGGCTGGCAGTCACACAAGGACCTATCCTAGGTGCATGGATTGGCTTTTTGGAGTCCACTCCCTATGGTGGGATACCTTGCTCAGCTTTGATATGGGGGAGGGGCTTGGTCTTGCCTCAAGTTGGTACGCCAGACCTTGTTGATTCCTCAAGGAAGGCCTTACCCCGGGGATGGTAAGGGGGAGCTGAAGGGGTTTGGAGATGGGGAGAGAGGGGTAGCTGGGGTTGATATGTAAAATGAAAATAAACTTTTTAATAGAAATATGAAAAAAGAAAAATATTAAAATAAAAATACAAGTTTGACAGCTAAAAAAATGATAGACTGTCTTAACCTGTAGATAGTAGAATATTTTAAGTGACAGGTAGTCATGAGATCAACCATGGGGCATCAAGCAATCTCAAAAATGTGTTAAAGGACATAGCTACATTGCTCAGTCCTTAAAGGACCCTTCTTGCAATCATGAAGAGCTAAGTCTGTATTTTCAGAACACATGAGAGTGACATTCACACTCGGGTAAAGGAAGGGGTAGAAGAGTCCCTGGAACGTCTTCGCTAGGTGGTCTAGCTGAACAGGTGAACTACAAGTTCAGCAAGAAACTGTCTCCAAGATCATGTGACTAGTGACCGACAAAAGTTTTTTGAATTACACCTGATTCACATACACACACACACACACACACACACACACACACTTAAGTGTACCCATATGCACAGGTGCATGTCTCCAAAAAAGAGTTAGATTTGTGTCAGCACAGAACACTGCAGCTAATTCTGGGCATCTGTGTCTCCTTTTGTGGTCAAAGGTCTTTGAGGCTGTAAGAAACTTGTTCCACTTGTTCCACTACGCACGTGCACTAACAGTGGTCTGGGCCTTCAAGGACTCAGCTTTGCCACAATAGCACAGGCAACCTGCGTTTGACCTTACTTGTGCTTTCAGAAATATCCAGAAAGGGCGCTAGGATCCAGTGTGCTTTGGCAGAACACGAAGGATCACACTACACCCATATATTCCAATCCCTTGATAAACCTTTATAAAAACTTCCTTTGAATCCACGGCGAGAGACGTACGACCCACAGACCTGCCATAGTCACTTTCACACAGCCAGCTGCTCTCCGTCTTTGGGTTACTTTCTCTGGTTTGCTCAGTAAACTGCCTGAGCTGTCTCTGAGCACTGAACTCCCTCCTTGCTGGACAGAATGCTGCTGCTGGCGAGTTCTCTGCAACTGCAATTAGTGAAAATTAGAATGGTCCTCTTGGAGAGCGGTCAGAACACCTCTCAAGGAAGCTCTTCGACAGTGTTGTTATCAGAGAGGTCGAAAGCAGAGTCTCACTCTGGCAACTGTTAGAATGAGTATTCTTTGACAATTTAATTGGATTCTTCCAACTGCAGCTTCCTTGCCCATTTTGTGAAGGGGATAACGATGCTACCCAACCCCCTGAGTTAGAGCAAGGATTACAGGAGATAATGAATGTAAAACATTTAATCCGGTGTCTCTTAAGTAGTAAATGTTCAGTAAATCTTAATTACATTATGATCATTATATTCCTTGTCATGCAGAGAAAGACACCAGCGAATTTCAGTGTGTGTGTGCTGAGAGAGGGCTGGGCCAATCAATGTGGCAAAGACAATGCTGGGCTAATATTACTGCAGATGCTTCGTCCTTTGCCTCAGGGAAATGTAGATGTCTAAGAGCTGCAGAAAGTGTGATAACTGTGTGGCTGAGTGATATAGAGGTGCTTTTCATAGACAATGCCCTGCGTTTAATCTCACTTCTTTCCTCCACCAAAAAAAAGTAGCATTGTTAATTAAGGTCATTTGCAAAACAGTTTTACAAAGTTTGGGGAAATGCTGAAATTATACCTTTAGTTAGTATTCTCAAGTTTTCTGTAATTTGTCAACGAGAGAAGAGGCAAGCAACACAAACCTAGCCATTTGTTGGAAAGTCAGCAATGAAATTTGACAAAACACCCTCCTCTCCACTGGGAATATGCACCCAAAACAACGTCCGTCACTTATTCTCAGGACAATGTGTACCTTGCTTCCAGATAACACTATTCTCTTCTGTGCTATTTCACCAGGCGGGGAGAGAGTTCATCTTCCCTCCGTTTGCACTCAGCTCCTGCCAATGTCACAAATGGTGTAACCAGCAGGAAGCTCACAACTGTTGTTTGTAATTAAAAAGCAACTTCATGCCCGGAAACACGTGCGATATTGTATAGAGAAAGAAATGTTCTTCACCATGGGAGTGCAGAGATGAATGCCCAAGATTTTAAAAATTAAATTAAAAATATGTGCATTGTTCTCGCGAAGGACGGTTAGTAGCCTGCAGTGAAGCTGCACGGTGGAGAGTTGCGCATGTGTGGCTTTGAATCCCCAATCTGTAATTTACTGAGCATTCATGCTCCTTTCATGTATAAATACTCGGCTCGACAAATCTGATTTCCTTGACCACCAATCCCTGCGATTCATTTTCTACAACTATATGGTGTGGGTCCCCTGCGGGAAGCCTGATACCGCCCTCCTGCTGCTCCGTCCACCTGTTTAGAATTTACATCCAAAATCCATCTAAAACATACCATTTTCCCCCTGGAGAATATTGAGTTAATATATTAACAAATTCCAGATGAAGTCGATATGTTCTGAGGGCTTTGCAATTTCGTATTTCACAAACTCCCCTTTGATAGAACAGGCGACCCACATTTTTCAGAGTAAAATCAGAGCTGAGACACCTCCCCAAATAAAGTCCAAGCAAAACAATACACAAAAGAGAATTCCTTCTATGCATGTTTCCTGTGTATTTTTCTTCCCTCTAACCATAGCATTCAATATGCCAGAACCAGACACAAATGATTTTATGCATTTTAAGTTAGATTTTTCCTAATAAAAACAGACAGAATTTATTTTTCATGGGGATTATGCGATTTTTCTGAAGTGCTGGGCTACCTGGTTCCTGCGGCAATGCTCCATCCATCACAGTTCAGAGCTCAGCTTCCTTCTTCTTCCTTCCTAGTAAATTGCATTAGCATAGATTACTTTGCAGCGAACATTGTATGGACTTATTTAATCAATGTCGGCAGAGTTTTCGGGCTTATGAGCATATTCATAGATCCCCTTTTGCTGTTTCTTTCAAATGCCTTGAATCGAGGGGTATGAATGCAAGCCAGGTGGTAGAGAGTGTCTTCGATTTCGTGTGCTCATGCCAGATGACTCCAGCTTCTGGAGTGAGTCCTGAAGAACAGATGTCTGCCTTCCAAAGTAAAAAAACATGCATCTGTTTCCGAAATGTCAAAACAATAGCGGGCGAGTTATAGCATTTGTGTGGAAAGGTTTGAGTGGAAATGCTTCAGAGCTGGGCCTCGTTTGTAGCTGGCCGAGGAATCAACCATGGAAGGAAGATGTTGTACTTATGAAGGCAT